GCCTAATGCCTAGCAAAGGATGAGTCCCAAGCCCCGAACCACTCCAAGGATGAAGCCGACCTACAGCCCGAGGAAGATTGAAACAGCCCCACCCCACAGACCCGCTTCCCAAGACCCGACCAAACACCCCTGGTCAGAATCCGAGCTCGTCGGGCGTCCAACACAGCAAAACCTGCAAGGTGGACAAAGGGGCACACTCCAACCCGCCTCAACCCCGGCCAACGCGACTCAATCGAGCCAAGCCCCAACCCCAAACACTCACCTCCTTGAAGCAGCCCACCACGAACCAGGCGCGCAGCAGACGAGCACCCGCCGGTGACCGAGCAGAAAAGAAGCCAACCGATGGCCAGCCGCCAAAACTACTCGGAGAACCATAAGACGGAGCCACCACCGGCGATAAGGAACCAGCGAGACCTGCCGACGGCTTGGGAAAGACACCATCGGCGCAGAAGCCCGGGCGAGCGAGAAATAGGGGCGGGATGATGCAGCTGAAGGCCATCCGCCGGCGAAATGGCCGGCTAATCGCCGGAGAAGGCACACAAAGGACAGATTTTGACGGGCCGCTGCGAGGGTTTTACTGTTGGAGAGAAAAGGGAATCTACTATACACGGGTGTTGTACTAGTTATTTTTATAACATAATATATATTGCTATTTGCTGTTAAATTGGTTGATAGTAATATTAATTTTATTTATATATATAATTACTTTTTATTTTATATATGCACTATGGATGTCAAATAGAAGATCGTTATAACATGATTATTTTGATAGATTACATATAAAAAATTAAATACAAATAAAATAATTATAAAGCTTTAAAATTAAAAGGAATACATATTTATCGTAATTAATATATGAATTAAATAGAAAAAGGTATTAGTAGTATAAGGTAACTTAAGAAAAAGGAAAAGCTAGAATAGTTTCTGGTAATTCTCAAGCCTAATAGTCAAAACAAAACTTAAATATATGTCAATACGCAGCACAAATTTATGTCAAATAACCTTACGAAACATACTAGTCTGAAGGGTCAGTTTATGAATTACGTGAGTCAAGTGTATCTATATCTATATAATAAGATTTTACTAAAAATAGTAGTAAAAAAATTAGGGAGCATTTAATGCATACCATTTTTGGAAACTTTTTAAATACATGCATTAACTGCTTCCATATACACGTTTTCAAATAAGATCAAACCAGATATGATTATAAATATTGTTTCCTTAAATAATTTTACTAATATCTAGAATAGTTTAATTGATATCCATTATAATAAATTACAAGATTAATTTTCCGTGATTCATGTTGATAATATTTTGGTCAAGATAAATATTACACTATATTTTAAGTTCTAACCATAATATTAATTTATTTCACACTATATTCACTTTTTATCCAAAAATATTTATAAAAAATCGTAACAGGTTAAGCAAAATTTTTTCTTTCAATTAATCAGGCGAAATCAAGTTGGTGAATTAATCTCTGCCAGTATATTTTTTTTCTCAAGCTTTATTTAGTTATATAGAAAAAATAAATTATTCTTCAAATTAATATAATTTACCATTTAAGAGATAATGACCAGATACATTAAATAGTTACTAATGGTAAAATATTAAAATTTAAATATATTAACAGTTCTTTAGAATTTATTTGTATATTATTGACAACCATAATTTTTTTTATTATTATTTTGCTTTATTTCTGTAATGAAATTCTTGAAAAATATATTTTCATTGCAGAGTATGCTAAATAACTATCAATCCTTATAGTGCAGATTAGAAAAATCTTGATCATAGGATGGATTGAGTTCCTGTCATTTTCTAAATCAAAGTTGTTTAATTAGTATACAAAATTAAATTCTAAAGAAACATGCGTATATTTTGTAAAATTTTTATACACTATTTAATTTATTACATATTTTAAATTGGTTACATAAGTAAATAATACTAACTTGCATTAAATATTTTTCATTACATAAAATAAAAAAGAATAAAAAGATGTAACTATAACTCTTATAAATAATAATGACATTATATGACAATAAAGTTTGTAATAAAATAATAATTAAATATTATGCTCTGCCTTTTTCCTACGAAGTTGGAACTGGGCTAGCAAGCGAGCTATCTATGCATCTGAAAGCAAGTTGGGTGCTTGTGGGGCGAGGCCACCTTGATGAACAAGAATAAGTAAAATTGTTATTTTCCTTTATATCAAGGAATAAATATATATACTAAAATCAAATTTATATGAGTATAAATGTGTTAGTGAGATAATATATTACTTATTTTACAAGCTCTAACATGCTCATATTTATTGTTCTGGCTAGAAAAAACAACGCTGATTAAAAGATGTGGAAAATAAATTATAATTCTCTTATTTTTTAGACTTAACGCTGATTGAAAGAGGTATAAAATAGATTAAAAGAAGTGGAAAGTAGACGATAACCTTATTGCTTTTAGACTGTAACGGACAAAGCATTTGAAAATAACTCACATTTAATATCTCTGTCTCGTGCACCGGGTGCATATTAGTTATAATTTAAAGGGTAAAAAACTTTGTCCCATCCGAACTATGACGATTTTCGCGCATTACCATATGAACTTTTTTTTTAACAAACCACCACCCGAACTATACGGATTTGTCAAATTGCCCTCCACACCGGATATAAATGTGGTTTTGATTAAAAAAAAGTGGTTTTATAATGGCTTTTCGGTAATTTCATATTTTTTTATAAAAAAAAAAAGAAAAATGAAAAGAATAAATAAAGAAACAGCAGCAGCGAGGGTTTTTCAAAAAAAAAAAAGAAAAATGAAAAGAATGGAGAAAGAAACAGTAGCAGCGAAGGGTTCGTAGGTGGCGGCGGGTTCCAAGAAGAATCGGAGCGGTCAGAGCAAAAAGGCAACGCCGTTGAGAGAGCCGTCGTTCGATAATGAGGGCACATGGCAGAGGAGAAAGGCGGCCGCCGCCACCTGGCTGCTGGAGGTGGCGGCCGTGAGGGTAAAGCAGAGCTCCATGTCGCGACATAAGATAGCTCGAGAGGGTGGGGGAGGAAGGCGAGAGAGTTGCCGATGGTATGCCGTCGTCTCCGTCAATGGAAATTGTGGTGGCAGCTGCAGGCCGCACAACAGAGGAACTCGAGCATGCCGTCGTCTCCGGCGGGGATGAACTCGCTGCAGCTGTCGATGGTATGGCCGCCAATGCCACTGCGTGGTTCTTCAGGCATTCTCGGTAGCGGGGCTTCTCGAGCAGGACATTTTCAACGCGCGACATGAGTTGTAGTTGACCAGTGAGCCGTCGTAACTCGTGCCCGTCGACCCGATCTCGCCCACCTGCTCATCTTCTTCATCCTCATATTGCATGGTTCTTTCTTCCCCTGTTTTTCTTTTTTACTAATTTTTTTTAAACTCAATCAACTTAATTATGCAGTATGAAGGGATTTTCTTTTTTCGTCCACCTGCTCATCTTCCCCTTTTTTTTGGAACATGTTGTTGTTTTTTCAATCTTTATCTTTTCATTTTTAAATTTTTTTTAAAAACCCGTCACTATGCTATTTTGTTTATTTATTCTTTTCAGTTTTCTTTTTTTTTTTAAAAAAAAAACCATCACTATGATATTTTCTTTATTTATTCTTTTCATTATTCTTTTTTTTTTTTATAAAAAAATATGAAATTACCGAAAAGCCATTATAAAACCGCTTTTTTTAATCAAAACCACATTTGTATCCGGTGTGGAGGGCAATTTGACAAAATCGTATAGTTCGGGTGGTGGTTTGTTAAAAAAAAAAGTTCATATAGTAATGCGCGAAAATCGTCATAGTTCAGATGAGAAAAAGTTTTTTACCCTAATTTAAAAGTTGTAATAAACATGAGATAAAGTCTAGATTCAGCCGGATAAAAAAAATAAATAAAATAAAATAAAACAATTGACGCATAAACCTGAAATTTGGTAATTATCTATACTATTATAAAAGAGCCAATGAATCTGTAAAAATATGATATCCCTAAATTAACCTTACTTTGTCATGTTTATAATGTCAATTTTGTAATTTAATACCCCCATTCTATACTAATATTTTTAATTAAACACATTCTAGATCATGGGGTTTATGTATATATGTTGGTTTGGCTCAATTATCAATGCCGTCTATTTATCAAAATTTCTCCCTTTTGAATATCTTGTCACTCCCCATTTTCACTTTTTGTCTGGAA